CTGCACTGGGGGGACATGTGTTGCACTGCACAGGTAGTTTATCCCTACATTAGCCCACAGTTTAAGTCCACTAGGACCAGTGACAAAACCTTCTGGAAACAGCAGCATGTACACTTCCGTCTGTCACCACTGACTTCCCCACCTGGCTGCATTCAGGAGTCTCTACATTGCTTCTCCAGATCCTCTCCCTGCCCAGGACGAGGTGCTCTGTTCTGCCAAAGCTTTCAGCAGTGCTGAGATATTCAGAGGTGACAGACTCCAGGGTCAGTGAGAAATGGACCACCTTAGTCTGTTATCTCAATAAAGTCTGAGTAGAAGACTCAGTCTGAGTAAAGAAATTCTTGGCTGTGAGGGTGGTGAGGCCCTGGCACAGGTTCCCCAGGAAGGCTGTGGCTGCCCCATCCCTGGAAGTGTCCAAGGCCAGGCTGGACAGGGCTTGGAGCAACCTGGGCTAGTGGAAGGTGTCCCTGCCCGTGGCAGGGGGTTTGGAGTGAGATGAGCTTTAAGGTCCCTTTCAACCTAAACCATCTGTATTTCCATGATTCCTGGAAGCATTTTAAACAGGGGCAGCTTTAGTTCTTTCCAGTACAGTAGATATAAAACAGCCTTCCAAATCTTTTTACGACTGTCATTTGCTCCCAACTCACATTCCACCAAAGATACATTATTTGCAGCAGTTTCACAGAAGCTTCAGCTATTTATTTTGGGGATTATGTGACTCTAATTCAAAAGAGAGTAATGTGGTATCTCCTCAAAATCAAGAAAATCATTAAAGAAAAACTCAGCTGGAACTGCCAGCCCAGGAAGGTGTGGAGTAACCTCTTGCAAAACAGAGTTACTGGGCAGACAGGATCTGCACTAGAGCAGGATGGGGATCCAGATCACTTGGGAAAAATGGGAAGGGGAAGGTCTGTGAAGTAGCATATTTTTGTTTATCTCATTACAGGGTTAAAGTTCACATACCAAAAAGGCTATGCAAGTCTCTATAAAGAAGTAGCAGGAAGCTGTTTATGTTCTGGCATTTTCATTGGCATCAAGACAACAAACAGGAAGTGATCTAAGAGAGAGGGTTGATATCTCACCTCTGTCTATGAAGAAATTGGCTGAAGGTGCCTTGTGTTTCTCAAAGCCAGTATGAAATAGTTTTTTGCTTCTTGCTCTTTGAAACTTTTTTTTAAAAAAAAGTAAAAGTCAATGCATTTTTTGAACATCAACTACTTCCTGCACATGCAGCATTTCTTCACATCACACAAACTTTTCATTTTAAAACTCTACCTGCTGCTAGAGTGGGCTAAAGCTAAGTTTGATAAATCCTTTCATTTTAAACACTAAACTGTGTACAGTTTTCATTTAATCCTCTGCCAAGGCTTATCTATTATTCTTCTGACTGCTTTACATACATTTATTTCCCTTTCATCTCTTTAAATTGTGCCTTACTTTTCTTTCCTTTACTGTCTCAGGGCTCTGTGAGTTTTCCCCCTCCCATCCCTTAAGCCAGCTGACAGCAGAGCTGAAACCCCTGCACATCTACAGCTGCAAATACTCTGCTGTGACCCCTTGACTTCTCTTGCACCTTCTTCCCCAGCTGCTCACAAATATTCACGTTTCATTATAGCTAAATTGCTCGGTAATTCTAATTATCCTTCTTTTTATAAATGGAGAAATAGAGAGAGAAAAAAAAATTAAAAAATCAAAAAGGAAACTTTTCTGGAGCCCAAACAGCTAGACAAGCAAAATTTCAATATTAGTAGGTCACTTCAGTGCTCTCTGTGTCTTGGAAACTTCCCCTCTGCAACACTCATATGGAAACTTGGTGGCACAGGCTCAGCCTGCACTGACCCAACAGTTCCAGTAGTATTTCATAGCTCTGCTCTCTCCAGGTCATTTTTTTTTTTTTATTTGAAACCTTCCCATAAAGAAATCACTCTCACACAATTAGCCAGGAATATATTGCATTGTGATATATAGAGCAGGTATTAAAAAAGCTATTTGAGTATTAAAAGAGACTTCAAAAGAGGTGAGATCATGAGAGAATGGGGATATATCGAACCCATATATGTCAGATTGATTCAGTTTTACTGCTCTAAGGAGAAAGATGGGGGGACTAGCAAAGGACTACCCAACATACTTGGGTGATGTTAATTGGGATGGTTACAACATGTCCCTTTTAGACCCATGGCCTTTGCAGTGAATTAGAGAACTATCCCCAGCTAAGCCAAGGTGTTTGCAGGACACAAGGATGGCATCTGCAAAGATGCAAAACACGAAGGGGACACATAAGACTGTGTCGCCATCTGCCAGACATCAGATCTAAGGACAAAACCTTGCCCTTAGGTATAAATTCTTTCCCAAGTTAGTGAATTACCAGCTTTATAACTCTTGTAGAAAGCTTGCACACCCATGAAGAAGAAGAGTGGGACTGGTTTGCCTTTTGTCTGCTGAGACATGCCATGGTATTACTGATTTGTGCCAGGTTTGGGTTGTGGAGGTCTTGGCCATGACCTCAGTGGCAGCCCCAAGGCAGAAAGCAGTTCTGGGATGGCCTCAGGTACTGATGGCTATTAAATACTTTAGTAACTCTTCCTTGAGTTGCATTTTAAAAGAAACAGCAAATAAGTGTTTTGTTGCCGGGGGAGAAGGGTCTGGAGGGAGCGGCTGGAGGGGAACCCAGTTTCTTAAACTGGGCATAGGATAGGAGCATACTCACAAAATTAAGGGAATTTAAACCAAAATACCTAAATTCCTTTGGTGATTGGCAGTAGCTGGGTTTGAGGGGTTTAAAATGAAAATTTTGGATCGAGCTGTTTAATTTTCAATAAGTACCTAAGGCCTGTTTGCCCCAGTCTCAGTCAGTAACAGGCAAACACCCTGGAACTGCCTCTCTGAATTATGGTCAGAACATACATTTTTCTATTAAGGCCCAATACATTATTTCCTTATAAAAATAACTACCTAGTCGATAGTTTGCAGAAAATATGAAGGATGAGACAAATTAAGGAAATCTATATAGGTGGGTAAAGTGACTTGCAGAATATTGGCTGTGAGTTAAAAACAATATTTCAGACATTTTAAATGACAAAAGGGTTTCAGCTGGATTGCAATTTAATTCCCTGCATTTGTGTGGGCTGAGATGCAAAGAAACAAGTGTTTGGTGCTTCTGTTTTTTGACTGAAGTTGTGTGGCCACTGGGTGTCATCCTTGATTCAGATGACAGCCAAAGACTTTGTAGCTCCAGCAGACAGGCTGCAACTTCCCAAGCAGTTAAATTCCACTCTATTTGATTGTACAACATACACAAAATTGCTCTGCATTTAAATCAGCTATAAAATTGAATACTTTGACATAGACAAATTCTCCTTTGTCTCAGTGCCTTATTTGGAGACCTGAAATGACTGGTTGATGCGGGAAAGAAAGAGAAGTAATGCAACCAGGGCATAGGAACTACAAACAAATTTGATGAGTGATTATCAAATCTCAGGAAATATGAAATAACTATGATTAAATAATGCAGAGGGACTATGCAGGAAGGTTGGAATTATATCCTTAATTGGGCCCCAGGCTGAAAAAGCCTATTTCATATAGGTAATTGTGTTTAAGATATTCAGTAGCCAGATTCGGTACACAAATTAATGACTATGTATGAAGGAGCCAGTTCAGGAAAAACTAATTTAAACTCTTACCTACAATACGAAGCCAGTGCCCTCACAGAAGTTTCAAAATTTCATCAAGGAGGAAAAAAGACTCAAAGTCCTTGATATTTTATTCATTTGCCCTTTTGCTATCCTGCAATTTTTCACATTTTTTTCAACTATTCATCATCTTCCCAGTTCCCCAAAACCAGGATCCATGGGAACCACAGAACCAGGTGGGGCCATGGGAACAATGTGTGCACCGAACTAACAGGGAAGCATAAAACTTTCCAGAAGAAATATCCAGATATCCGGAATATTTTGCCAGTGTTCACGTATAAGGATCGAATCAGCTCACAACAGGTCGTATGTCATCCTAATGAGTTTTCTGCTATGGGTGACTGAGAAAAACTTATCAGTGTTATTCTGTTATCTCCTGAGAGTCTAGACAGTCTGAAACGAGCACAGTGCAGCGAAGCTGCTTATTATAATATTATTTGTCTCTGAAACCTGATTTAGTTTGCCTTCTTCAAGCTAAAATAAAAGGAAGTGCAAGCAATTTCTCCAAGTATTACAGCCAGAAATGTTTACATTTGTCAGTGCATTGAAAGTATTAATCCTACTGTTCTTAATATAGATACATAGAATATAGTAATATACTGGTTTAAATAACAGGTATTTTTTTTAATGCAGCTAACCTCAGTTGATAGCTCAGCTTTCTGTGGATTATACAGTCTTTGAGAACACAGATCTCCGTGTAATACTTCCTAGCTTTGCCAGTGGATATAATTTTAATGAAAACGTGCCAGTACTAAAGAGTTATTAGGCACAGAGTCGAAATTGTCTTTGATTTTGTTCACCACCCAGAGACTTCAAGGATTTTTTAAAAATCCATTTTTAAAGGAAGATGTTAAATATTCTCTTTACATTAAACAGCCTCATAGACATGATTTAGGTTACTTGTTTTTAATATTATCAACACTCTCTTTTACGATTCTACTTAGTTTAGAACTGATAGCAGACTTCAAGAAGGAAAGGCACTTAAGATGTGAGCATGTGTATTACCAATTTCAAAATTTACTAAAATTAACATACAATAACCCATCTGAAGTAACAAAGACATATAAACAATTTGACTAAATGCCCTTTTCACTGATGCAATAAATCAGTAAAAAATTTTAGCCCAATGATATTTTTTTTTTTTGCAACAGGAATTTTTTTCTGTTTCTATAAATATATACATAGATGCACATGCCCATATTCTAAGACTAGTTATCTACACAATTTCACTTTCAGATCTTGATTCAAAGGGAAGACATTTTCCCCTTTGAACTTCACAGGACTTTTATTTGGGTGTAGAAAAATACTCACGTTGGTTTAACGCTCTTGGAATGCTTTTCATGAATGTAGGCACCAGCAAGGCCTCCTGCTCCAGAATTTAAATACTGCAAAGAATAAATCAACATGTACATGTCGTGCTCATTATCTGTAAAATATCACCTTTCTTCCCTCACCCAGCTCTACAAAACAGACCAATTTTAACATTTCTAGAGGTTTCTAACTGGAGATCTTAGCGTTTGTCACAAAGTGCTGATGTAGATAAAAGCAGATATATTTTTTCAGGTTAGATTTTAAAATATCTTTCTTGGCTTAGGTACAATAATTGAAGTCTAACAGGCTAGAAAATTGAAGTACAGCTGAAACAATTCCATTTCATAATACATATAGCAAAGTCATCAAACAATCCCTCTGTCTATATCTGTCGATTCTTAATCTCAACAGAAGTCAAAGGAATTAAAGATACCTTGTTCTGTGATCAAAATTATTTAAGTTTGGGTAAGAATAGTATCTTATCTAGGGACCACTTCATAAAACCCTGTAGCTGTGACACCTTCTCAGTGTGGGAAATAAGAGAAGAGCCTCTGATCCTGTGACCACAGGGTAGGATGTGCTTCAGAGCAGATATTTAACCACCACCAGCATCCACCTCACATTCACAAGACCTTGTAGGTCATTGCCACTGTTAGTTTTTGGAACCTCTCATAACAAAGCCACCACTAAAATTAGTGTCCATCTCCTCACTGTGGCTGGTTCAAAGGTTCAGCCAAGTCTTGATCAACAGTTCAGGTGCAGTTCTTATTCATCTGACCTGTTTGCTGACCCATGATATAAGTGACATTATGGAAAATAGTCTCCAACAATTAATCTATTTTACCTTGTAGGAGCACCAGCAGGCAAAATCTACTCCCCAGTCATGCAAATGAAGCTCTACATTCCCAACACTGTGAGCCAGGTCAAATCCAACAAGGCATCCCTGCAGGAAAGAGATGATTATTATACTACTTGCTAAGATAATCATCACCATGAAGTTATTTTGAAAAAAAACCTGTAGAGCTTTACTTACTCTCTCCATAGGCATGATATCTAGTGACTATTTGTAAAAAGTCAGGTAGGGATAGGACAAGTAGAAATGGACTTAAACTAAAAAAAGAGAGATTTAGATTAGAGATTAGAAATTCTTGGCTGTGAGGGTGGTGAGGCCCTGGCACAGGTTGCCCAGAGAAGTTGTGGCTGCCCCATCCCTGGAAGTGTCTAAGGACAGGTTGGACAGAGCTTGGAGCAATCTGGTGTAGTGGAAGGTGTCCCTGCCCATGGCAGACAGATTGGAAATAGATGATCTTCAAGGTCCCTTCAAACCCAAACCCTTCTATGATGAATCTATCAAGACCCATCTGCTTTGAGTTATTACTAGATATGGTTTAGATTCCTAAGATGTTGATCATACAATAAAGTGGAATCATTTGAAATAAGTACTCAGAACAAATGCATAAATACAACCTGTTTTATGGCACAACATGCAGAAACAAAGTAGTAAAATACATAATGATGCCAGTTACTCATGAACAATTACATTCCACCATATACTTTTACTGAAGGTCTCACTGATATTTAAACTAGAAGTATTTTGCTCTTTGGGAATCCAAATGGGTGAGATAGAATCTTATGCAACATAGTGATCTTTAAAGATGTTTTTACTTGTCCCTCAGAAGAAGAACTCTGCCTTTCCTCTGTGAAAAGTGGTGTATTTCCCATCGCCACAATTTGCACAGGGAAAGAAAGGGAAGAAAGGAATCTAACGACCAGAGACGCCTAGACCAAAAAAGCAGGTTTTACACACGAAATAACCACTGGATGGCAGTATTTTTAAACTAAAAAGTTCTTCCAAGGTTTGCTATTTGTTTAAGTGCGGAGAAATAAAACTGCTTTTTTTGTTCCTGGACTAGGAATTAAATGCTATTTTGCATTTTGCTTTTAAAACACAAACAGCTTGCTTGCAAGCAGCGGGGTAGGAATAGGAGTGAGAGCACAGGTTTCAGAAAAATCAGCATCCAATAATAAAACAAAAGGGTTTTTTTTAAGAATCTCCTGCTGTTTCTTGCATGGAGAGAGCCTTAGCTAAATTATTTAAACAGTACTTTGGTATATTTAATCTTCTGTATAAACTAGATAACAATTTCAATGAAGCAGCATTTTAAAAAGGTGTGACACGTTAATTCTAATGGAGGTTTTGGTGGAGTTATCAGCTTAAGAAGTTGCTGCAAAGCAATGGGAAGAAAACTCACTGCCATAGTATTTGCATGATCTAAACATTGGAATAAGAGTCCCAATAAGTAACTTTGGTGGCTTGACTTCATAGGGACACGCAGAACTGAGTAAAAACAGATCAACTGAAATGGTGAAGCTAAGGTAGAGAGGCTGAAGCACATTGAATTCCCATAGGAATGCTCTCATTCAGGGATAAAATGGCGTCAGAGAAATAAGCTACAGCAAACTAAAGCAAATTGCCAGCGAAGGAGAAGGTTTTCACAAGGTTTTAAGGCATTAACTTCAGAACTTCAGCTGACTGGATTTAGACCTTTACAGGTGTCCCTTTGTACATACATCCCACACAAACTTTTGGAAGCAATTCTACGACAGATTCATTGGTGGAAACCAGGAATAACACAATAGGATGGGAGCCTTTCAGAATGTGTGTGCCTGGCAGTACAATAACAAAATCAAAACAGACAAAACAATGGAAGTTGCTCACAAAGAAAAAAACCTATAAGAAATTTGATCCTATAAGTCATGTGCCAAAATCAGTTGTCTTTTCCCTGTCAGTAAGTCATAAACGGGAGGTAAGACAAGATGCTTTAGGACAGTGGCAGTTTGGATGGCCTTGCAGTCACGGTAGTATAAAGATGCTCCACAGCCATATCTATACCTGTAACCTTGATATGTTCAAAATGTCTTGGCCACTGACACTGGCTGGAATAGATCAGCTTGAACCCATACCATGGGCTCATAGCCCTCAAACAGGAGGCCCACAGCCATACCACCCATGGGTCATCCTCCTGAACTCCTCTAACTGCTTCCCAGTGCTTTGAAATTAGCTGGTAAATCCTATTGGGCACTTTCTAACTCAGTATTGAGGCACAGCCTGAAAATCTGGGTTCAGAGCTGGTAGGTTTCCTGCATAGTCTCAGAAACACCCACTCGCACCAGTTTGTTCGAGTCGTCGTCTGCAAGACGGGTTGTGCTGGTTTGTTTTTCCCAGGGAGGTGTCTGGCACTTGAGTCACACAAACAGCAAATGTTTAGCCACACAAGTCGCAGGGAAAAAGTAAAACAAACTGAAACAGCTCTCCCTGCACAAGCCACGCAGAACCAGGACTGCGTGGGAACAGCGCTTCCCCAGACTGGGGGAAAAACAGAGCTCTCCATCTGCTCCGGGCGAGGGAGAGGACGTGTGCTCTCCCCTGCCTCTTCCGCTCCGTTCCAACATCTAAAAGTCATTTCTGCAAAGTGTCTGGGTAGCTGCTGATAACCAGCAGGTAACAACTCAGCATGGACAATGACATTTGGAGAGAGGGAGAGAAATGACAGCTTCACACCGGCAAAGCGGGGACATTTAGAAAGAGAGACGGGAAAAGAAATGAAGATGAAGGATCTTAAAGCTCTTCCTACTGGGAACTCAAGAGATTAAAATATTTTACATAACGGTACAGAGTCAGTGGAAAGTACAATATAACTTATGAAATGAAAATTGTATTTGAAAGGTAGAGTCTCCTAAAAGTCAGCCATTTCTTAACTTGCAGAAGAAGAAAACGACTCAGCCCCCTCCATCCTCTAAAGCAAGCTCAAAAGTATGAAACAAGGAAAACTGTTACATCCTCCTCAGCCTGCTGATGAGTCTCTTGCACAATATGTAGTAATTTTGATTTATCTGAGAGACCTTAGATGGAAAAATAGCCTGAGGTAATTTTTCAAGCTTAATTTAGTTCATTTAATATTTAATGACTTAATGAAGCTGTCTATGTGCAGAGCTTTCACTCTGGGAGGAATCTTAATGTACGTAGAGAACTTAGGAAATTGGCTTAAAAAATGTAAAAGGAAATCAGTAACTTAATTCATAAATGATTGACCTCAAGAATCCTAGGACATTTTCCAGACCTCCAGAGCTCACAGCTCAAATCTCTCTCCAAGACCTGATAGGGCACAACACTGCGGGATTTTATTTCAGTTGTACATTAAAAGAATTATTAAGACCATCTGTGTAGGACTTTTCTCTCTAATATACTGTCTGACAAGTGATTTTTTTCCCTCTCTTTTTCTTGAATGACATTTTCACCTTGTATTTTTGCCTTCTGAGTCGTTTACTTGTCAGCGCTCCCCAACCTATTTTCTGTTCAGGAGCACAGGGTCATTCACCACCCTTCACCACTGGGAAGGAGAACCTTGCATTTTTGCTCTAAACATGGCTTTTCAGTCTTATCTTCTTTCAAAATATATTTTAAAAGGACTTCCAGTCTTTCTGTGCAAATATGTATAAGACAATACTGTTTTCATCGGATCCAGAAGCTCTTGAAGGACATATAGTCTTTAAGTCCAATTAAACTTATAGATACATAGATGCTAATTACTCTGCTTTAGAAGCTGATTTCATTCTCCTCTAATCCAACAGCAGCTCCAAACATCAGCTCTGACCTGGGGAAAGGGGAGAGGAGACAATTTTTTTTGAAGATCCCCCATTTGGGGCTTTTTGATAACCAGAAGTTCTGAGATTAAGAGAAGCAGCAGGGTGCAGGAATAGCTCTTACCAATATTAAGAGAGAAACTCTTCATGAATTGCTGATTCTGTGGCTATTCAAGTAAATATTTACAATATGCAGACGTTTAAGTGTGGTATAAGAGTCTGTTACATAGTGGATTTGTATAAACATATAAACAATTACTTAACCCCAGGGCAGAATCCATAAGGACAATGAGTTGAGTGTATCTGACAGGAGGGAATTAAAAACAGGGCTGGCTCATGTTTTCCAAGCCTTAAGGGTACTCAAACAGTTCTTCAGGTTGAATTAGTTTTGCTTTTTCAAGATACTAATGACATTTTAAGCCGTGTATCTACCTGGATATCCCAGTCCTACACACTCAAACCACAAAGAGACTGGTAATTAAATCTGTTAGGGTCCCCCCACTTTTGAAAAATCTTGGAGGAAGAGATTCAGGTCTACTTATAGCACCCCTAACAGGCATGCAGGTGGAAACAGGCCTTTGACATTTACCTGTGCCTGCTGGAATGATGAACAGCTGTCAGAAATTGTTCTCCTCTTCAGTAACATGATGCAGTCTCTGTATAAAGTGTGCAGTGGTTTTGTGTGTATCCGTGTGGAAGCACATACCCCTGAGTTAATATTTTTATTTGCACTGCCTTATAGAAATTTTAATCTCTCTCCACGAATGCCTGGTTATCTCCTCAGATATCATAAAAATCAAATCCATTTTTACTCTATGTAATAAACTATAAGTGACCACTCTTCCCCAGGACACAGGTTCTCAACCCCTTCAGGGTAGTTTATAGCTTTCAGTGAAACCACATCACTTCCACTCATCCAAGCCCACATCCCACAGTCCAGAGAGCATTTTTAGGGAGGTGGTGAAATGATAGGCTATTCCCAGGTCGTTCATGTTTATAGAAGAGAAGAAAGATTTCTCTCTGTCAGACACCTTTCAGACACATCACGGAGCAGATTTCAGGGAAGCAGCACTGAAGGCACGTAGGTGTTGGTGGTTGAATGAAAGCTTTTCTGCCACCAGGAGTGTGAGAGAGTAGAGCAGTGGGTGGCATCATCCTGTTAATAACCTGTCTTCCCTTTCTGACATGTCAGCATAGTTTTATGATTATTTGTGGTCAGCAAAGTGCTGGAAGACCCTCCAAGAAAGCACTATAACAGTGTTGCTTTTAGAGCTAATACACAACACCATTTCCCCCTGCAGCTGACTCCCTCCATTTCTTTTTTCCCTTGGTTTTCTACATCCACTTCAGAAGTTGGTTTTGTTTTGTACTGTTTTTAGCACCAATTTTGTTGCCAGGTGCTGCTCTGTGAGAACATTCCCTTTTTATATCCCATGGGCCATGCACTAGCTCTCACACCTGCTCTGCTCTCCCAGGGGGGACCTTACCATCACTTTCCAGCAGCATAACTTATGCCCCGACCTCCAGAAAAATTTCCACTGCCAAACCTACAGCAGCAGAAGATGTATAGCCTGTTGTGAGCCAGGAACCTCTCCAGAGAGTTAAACCATCAAATATAAAGGGTTAGCTGGTTTGCCAAAAATCCAGGGATACTGAGTAAGTTTACCCTTGAGTGATTTAATCTTGTGTGAGATAAGGAGCATTCAGCAAAAGGCTGCCACTATGGAAAGTCTGGTCACCTCCTGTTGATAACGTGACTTAATTAAAAACTATTTTTTCCTGGATTCCTAAGGCAATTGAGATGGTTAAAGAGTTTTACAGCTATGTCCACAGAGCCTACAAGCTCCAAAGGCTGAATCCTCACTAAAAAACAGTCATCTTGTGATGTTGATGTGCTCCACATTGTGCCTGTCTCCTGAAAACTCATCAGCCTAGTCTGAGCAGTACTGGTTCCATGGGGAACTCCCCTCCCTACCCACTGGGGGCAGAAACTGCCATAACATGGCAGCGGGAAAGGAGGAAAATCATGAAAGTCTGCCAAATAAAGCAGAAATCTAACACAAACTAACTTTTATAGAGAGATTACATCTGTGGTTACCTCCTCCTCCTTCTGCACTGAAACTGTTGATACTCCATCCTTCAAGAAAAGCCAGGTATAAGTTAATAGTCATGAATTATCTTTCCATATAGGTTAAGACTCACCTGCAAGATTGCTCTAACTGCTGTTTCTTCTTGCAGCACACAGCCTCCAAAGGATAAAGGCACACAATGCTTTTACATTTTACCAGTCACACAAAATTCCACGTTTTGTTACCAAAAATTAGTAGAAATTAAAAATATATCACACAGAAAACTGATCTAAAAGTGGTGTTAAGAGGATGAATCTGGAGCAGTCCTACCTTTTTTTGGCCAGCCTTTGTTATTCTAGGGATGTCAAACAACTGTCCTGTGTAGTACTGAACCCCACTGAACATAATGACAGCAATAGAGTCCCCTTCCTTCTCAATTACAGCAAGGATATCTTCAGTCCTCAAGGTCTCCTCCCCCTAAAACAAAGTTAAAGCACACATTTTACATCAACTCTGGCAGTAATGAAACTGTCAGTCCTTATTTCATAATCTATATTTTACCATGAGCCACGCTGCTTCCATAAGGAGATCAAAAGCAAATCCTTAGCATGGTAATGATGTACAAAGGTAGTGCTATGAAGTAGCCTATGAGCAAGTAACCTCAAAAAAAATCATTAGCAAATGAGTCTTGAAGGTGCCAGTTATAAAAAGTCTATTCAATTCATGTTCTAACATGCTTTATACTTTCTAATATTTCTGACAGTTTTAATTTACAACAAAAAATTCCTGGTGCAAACAGAATATCTAATGATTTTTAAGTGGCATTTGAAATTTGTGACACCCACAAGTCTTGAAAGTTGTCTATCACTTTCACTATGCACTTTTTTAATAAACTTGGTATCCCACAGGAAGCTATTATAAACCTGCCATATTTATGTTTCGAAAACAATGTCTCACATCATCAAAAGCACAAAAATCCCCAAACCTATGGTCATTAAATACAGAAAAATTTCAACCAAAAGGAAAAAAAAACACCTCATTTTTGATTCTTTATAGGAAAATTACTGCCCCATCCTCCTCCTGTCTTCCTAGCAAGAGATCTTGTAAAACATACCACCACCTAGGGATCAATTAGGCAGTGAAAACCTAGAATTAAATTAGACTGGTTACTGAAAAGAGCTTGGGCAAGATGGTTGAATTGCAAGGGACTGTTATTATCTCAACAATCTCTGCAAATCTATCAAGCATTCAGGAGTGGGCTCTTTACTCACAAGATGACTCAGATCTCAGAAGCAAAAGGTCACCCTCAGTTTATAGTTAGGTGACAAAGTTCTTAATGCTGCAGAAGTGAAGCGAGGCAGCCTTTCAAATTAATCTGAATTGCATATTACTCAGAGCAGACCTTTCTCTCAGTCTGTGCTGATACAGACAGTGTTGCTCGTGTTATGGCAATCTCTTACCTTAGGACGTTCAGAGGACAATGGACTTTCTCAATGAGTTACTATATTTTGCAGGTGACTCACTGTGCTGTTGGTTTTTGCAAACAGGAAAAATAGGGAAAATAACCTTTTTGTTGTTGTTGTTCCAGGAAAATTAACTATTGAATCAGCAATTATAAAATGGGGGTTAATGTCAAAAAATATACCCTGAAACAGACCACACGATTCATAAATTTTCCCTAAAGAGTTTTAATACAAATTATAACTTCTGCAGGCAGACACTAAAATATTTGAGAATATATGCCCTACTTTCACATGAAATATGTTTCTGCCCTTAGTGACAGCAAGTAGAACTGACATATTCCTCACCAACCTGCCGTGGCTGCAGCAGGATCATGCTTTTCTCCACATCCAGCCCGTGCAGTCGAAGCTGGGACTCAACAGCATACTGGAAGAGAATTCCACACAGACAACATTAACACAAATACATGATATACAACTAAAAGGAAAAAAAAAAAGGACAAACACATCAGAACTTCAAACAGGAATTCAGATGCCTTGCCTTTCACTGAAAGTAATGCTTTGAAAGCATAATCCAACTTCACTGAAAAGTTTCCGGATTTCCTTTGGATTAAAAAAGACACAAATTTAATTCATATAAGACTGCAAGAACTTTTGAGTGAGAAGTCAAAGCCTAAATCCTACAGGATAAGTTCATGGAGCAGAATGAGGGTGGAGTGGGGCCCTGAGTAGCCTGATCTAGTGGGTGTCATCCCTGCCCACGTTTGGAGGGTTGGAACGAGGTGATCTTTAAGGTCTCTTCCAACCTAAACCATAATGTTCTATAATGTGATGGAGGATGTGCTTTACCTTTTTCTTCGCCAGAAAGCCAATCTTTCATGGATAACAGCAAAGGAGAAGACTGAGTATCACTTCTGTAAAGCCCTGGGTACCCACTTTTCTTGGTCACACACACTCAATCCCAGGCTGTCACAATGCCCTGCTGCCTACACAAATGAGGTTTGGCCAGCACATACATATGGTCCTGTGCTATTCTAACCTCTTCTATTTGCTGCACAGCTGGCAGGAAATAAGAGCTTTAAACTCTCATAATATTTTGAAAATCCTATCTGCCAATTTTATCAATAACGATTCTGGGGATCAAATAACAATCATCAAATAACGGTATGAAGTAGTTTAAAATTTCACAACAGGAGCTGAAGCAGTGGCAGTTGCAGAGATTATTACTGAACTGCTGTAGAAATTTAGGAAGATGGAGTCCAAGCACACAAGTGTGCCTGGAACAAATGTGGGATTAATATAAACATTACTTAGAATAGAAGCAATTTGAGGTTTATACATCTGTGCCACCATGTTTGCTACAAATAAACCCATTAGTAGCTCGAGCCACTTTTATCACACCTTAGAGATCAAATTCGTTATCAATTTCCACGAGTTGATGGCGTTGATGATAAAGTAGCAGTGGGCCACAAACCCAAAGATTAATTTGCTGCAAGCTCTCATGCACGGGCTATTGTCTCCTATTTTATAGCAGACAAATGATGTTTGAACTAGTAATCTAAAGTGCTAAGAACAAACATTTCCATCTCTGTCTGGGGATATATAAGTGTTAATGTTGTGAGTTTGTATTGATTTGGTTTCATAAAGTAAAACAGCAACAAGAATTAATAAAACATTTACAACTTTAGTTGATTTAGGCCAGTAGTTTGCTCAATGTCTTTAAAAAGACTAATAAATCAATGCACCCATTCAATCTTTTCCTCTTGTAGCACTTTTTATTTGAACAGAAGGAATAAAGCTACGATCTGTAAAATATGCTGAGCTCAAAGGCTTCTGACAGATTTTTTTATTGTAATGTTACTTGGACAAGATGAGCTAATAAATATTCAAATCATACTACTGATATTCTTTGGAAAAATATGATTAATAATACAAATATGGTGAATTATTAATTTCTTACATGGTCAGAGGGAAAAGCTCTTGCTTCTAGAAGAATTTTATAGCGTCTTGGAGTAGGCTTAAAGAAAGATAGCTGTTAAGGAAGAAAAAAATTATGTTGAAATGTATCTAAGCAGAGATAAGAGAGATGCTCTCAGCATATGACTTAATAAAGACTGCTTTACTTTCATGTAGACTTACAGAGAATCCCCCAGAAATTACAAATATTTCTTTGTCCATATAACATTTATCAAAGTAGGAAAGTGTTATAATACTGTATTTCATGTATCCATAACAAAGGCCACAAAAATCCAGCAGTGAAAACTTGCACTTAACAGGAATCAACAGTAAAGCTTTGACTACAGTCAGGGAAGCTGGGATTTTATCCAGCTCCATCCAGGAAGCAAAAGCAGCAGCCGATAGCAAACAGTGAAAAAGAACTGGATTTTCATTCCTGCACTAAAATATTAATCACTGAATCATCCCTCACTCTGAAACAACTCTGACCAAAGGACTAAGCCTTCTGCAAAGACCTTTGCCTTCTCCAAAGCACCTTCAGGATGGTCTTTCCTTCTTAGTTCCTCATGTGAAGGCACGCTGGGCTGGCCACCATGCCAAGAGGACTAGTAGGAGACTCACAAGTCCTCCAGCTCAAGTCTGGGTTACACAAAGCTCTGCATGGACTGTGTATTCAAGAAATTTGGGACAGGTCTGACTTTGGTGCACCTGATTCAGGGCAGAGTAGCCAAGTGAGTTGGTTTGTACTTACCCCCACCCTGCCATCTTAACAAAGGTCAGAGACATTTCACAGAGGAGCAGATTCAAGGGATAAACCTTTTTGTGTGAATCACTCAAAACAAAGCTTCACATCTACACTCAGTTGAACCAAATCTTTGTAAATACTAGAGAACCAGAGACAGAGGCACCTGAGCATAAATAAGACACACTTATGGCCACTATGTAATACAAATCAAAATACTCTACCAAAATTTAGGTATATATAAAACAGTTTCACTCTACTATCTTTTGTTTAAAAGTTTGACTGAAATTACAGCTTTGTCTTGCTCACAGTTGAGCTCTTGTTTCCTGAACTTCGAAATTTGGTGTGAAATTGAAATCTGAAAAATTACTTGTAAATGTTCCTTAAATAATAAGGTCTCATTTGGTGACTAACATACAACACACGTGAGAGCAGCTCAAACTTCCCATCCAAAGTCCTTGAAAATATTTTTCTGTCCAGCTTTTCTGCTTAGTATTGAGTGAGGCCAGGTCTTGCACATACATTATTCAAGATACAACTCCCAAGGCTTAAAAGAAGTTAGTCTGTCACCCAGGTCTGTCTCTGTGAGGTCTTCAGAAAGCACTTTGCTTACATACACAAAGAAAGGAGAAAAATACTTGTCAACACAATATCAAATATACATCATAAAGACATACCATCAGGAGGTGCAAGTTAACAGTCAGCCCATTCATTAAGGCTACTTCGTGTCTTTGGGCCCCTGAAATAATAAGAAGATAAAACATAAAAAATACTGCTTGGAGGTTTTCTTGAAAATTTCAGAAAAATCTAGTACAGGTGGTGAGAAAGCAAAAGTATGTGTTCAGTCGAAGTCTCTAAAAGACTAGAAAGGAAATGAATGTTTGAGGTGTCATCAGAATGAAGTAAAAAGATTTCTTGTCTGACTCACTACACTACACTGGCAGGAAAATATTTATTTTTTCAGGTCAGCCACAGAAAACAACAAACAATGAAGTATTTCCACTTCCCAGCAAAGCACTGGTGGATTTATTATCATGAATACCTCAGACAAATCAGGTCAGAAGTCTGTACGTAAAGCAAGACTTGAAGGCTTATTTTTGTCAGAAGTTCATACGCAACACAACTCAGAAAACATAGAGATAATCACCTATGGTAAGTGGTTACTGTAATGTCAAGCTAAATCTCATTCCCAATAAAAAAAAAACAAGCAAAATTGACCCATTGAATATAACAGACCATTATTAATGCAACGGCATCACTACAAGCCATATCTACATCACTCCCAGGAGACTAATAACAGCTAGAACTAATGGAGTAACAACTAATTGTTATTACAAAGTATTTAGTAAAAAATTCTCCAGTGCTTATCAAGCCCTGGTGAAAAACTTCAGGCGAGTCAAGAGACTGTGTGTTGGTCAAGGAGCCACTGAGATATGGAGAAAATTAATTCCTGTTTCTTTCTGGTTCACCTGACGTCTGTTGTTGAAAAGAAGTAATTCACTCTTGAGACAAATCCATGTTTCGAGTTTTCTTCAGCTGGGACATAAGCTCATGCACCTTGCCCTAAACATCACCCAGATGTGGAGTTCACCAGAGGTGGGGAGAGGTTGTGGACAGAGAGGGATGAGGACAAGTGTAAGCAGGCAGGGAGGACAGGAGCCACACTGGAGATCAACGAAGGGGACATAAAACACGATATTGGGGTAAAAAGGGTAAGGGGAGTTCCACAAAAAATGGAGAGGTGAGTCCTGGGTTTCTCCTGTCCATGCTGTTGAGGGTGCACAAGATCAAAAATAACACAGGAAAAAGGCAGCAGAAGCAGAGAGACACTCTAACCATATCCTACAGAGTTTAGGTTCACACTTTGCCAATGTAGCAAAAAGGTGTAACCATGGGCTGACCTTGACACAAGCAAATACAAAGAACACAGAAATCTATAGTTAAGAAGTGTCAACAAATCCTTCCCAAGCAGGCCTCAGCTTCTGCCAGCACAGGAGCAGCCAAGAACCATCCTCATTGAGGTGTTCAAGGGCCTTTCTATGTGCTGCTGAAATCTCCAAGTTTTGGACAGAAAGCTTTGGCAATAGTTGTCAGGGACTCTGGAGGACCTGTCCAGGGATGAGCCATGAGGAAAAAGAGATGTTGTGAATAAGTTCCCTCCCTCAGACACCACAAAGAAATATATATTTCTTGTGTAAAGAAATATATAAAGAACATAGGCAAAAATAAGATCTTTTCCTCACTTAAACTCCTCTCATTTGCTTTCTTTTCTTCCCTCTGATAGCACTGCATCTGCAGGATCCATGCTGCTGGAAGAGGTCACCTTGTGGCTGTTCTCTTGCAGATATAGAAGACAGCTAGACAGAGTGATTGCAGCTCAAAACAGTATTATTTGCAGTCTTAATATTGCTATGGAACTCTTGAGGCTGAAAAAAGGGACAGCATCAGGAAATGGTATTGTTCTTATTTCTCCCTCTGCTCCTTCCATGAAATCTGTGGCTTTCCCAGCAAATTCTGCACAAGCAATCCTCTGCCTGCTGTACTGCTTCCCTATAGAACAAATGGTTAATGTGTAGATCCCTTTTAGCTGCATGCTACCATCCCAAATTAAATATGACACTACATTTGTCATGTAAGTCTTGGTCTTCCGTAAATTATATATTTATTAAAAGCTTTCCATTATTGAATTTCATGCCCACAAAACAAACCTCATCCGTGTCATTGGAAAACTGTTATCCTTTATAACCTGCACTGCGTTTCAGAAAACAACCTTCCTATGATCCAATTAACCTATTAGAATATTCAAAGACCCGGCACACGGGAGACAAAATTATGTTTGCTTTCCTTATTTCCTAACTTTATACCATATCTCCAAGACAGGCTAAAACCTGTATGTTCTGCGTGATAAATCTCCTCTTTAATAAAAGGAAGCAGCATTTGCAAAGTACAGCTTCAGAGACAATTATGATTGTGTTAGGCAGACACTGCCATCCTTCTCCTCTCTGACTGCTGTGGAAGGCTGATCCTCAATGGAGTAAGTAGAAAGCATTTTGTAAAATGATTGGAAAAAGGCTAAGGGCCCCAATTTAGAAAACATTTTGGTTATTTCGAATAATTCTTATCACTCAAAGTCACTGCAAATCTGCTCAGCATTCAGTCTTCCCTCAACAGAGACCTGCCCGAGCACATCGTGCAGCAGCAGCCATACAGTTAATCTTGTTCCATCAGAAGGTGATCCTGCCAAGGTTGTAATGTTTTAATAAAGTCTAGTAGGAGAAGCAGAGATTGCCTTCACTGCGTTGTGCCACTCGGTGTGAGCACAGAAAAAGAGCTTTGGCCTCCATTGACCTTGACTCTTCATTTCACAATGTATTTACTACTGTAACTTTCATTGAACAAGAAAATGTGACTGCATTTAATAAGCAAGGTGTTCGAGCACTATAAACCATTAAACAGGCAAAGGTGTTTTACAGTCTTTGGTCCATTCCTGAATAAATCTCACCAAATGGTTTTACTTCTTACTGCTGCTTAGAGTGAGAAATGACAATTCTTCCCCCTCCTCCATAATATATTCAATACTGAGTAAAAAACACTGTAAAATTCTGTTATATAATAATATTATTATATTATTATTATTAAATAAAATTCACTAAAAAAGGAAATTCAGAGTTCATTCAACTCATACATAATCAAGATTACACCTCGTAGGAAAACAGCACTTAAACATAAATTGGGGGATTGGAACTAGATGATTTTTAAGATCCCCTCCAACCCAAACTGTTCTGTGATTCTACAAAATACCACATTGGAAAAGAGCATTTTACCTTAACATTTTTTCCTACATTTATTGTCTCAGCCACTTCACTATTACCTACAATTTTATATATCAGAATTTATTACAATGCATCCATTATTCGGGAATTATTAATTCATTTGCATTCCAAGAATCACTCACCTAAATCTTTAAAAAAGCTATGAGGATATTATCTAAATAAAACCCTGAACATAAATTTGAGGGCCAGATTTAAGCCCAAAACATATTTTATAGTTCAATTAAACAAAGTCCCAAAAAACCTGGAGAACAAAATCTAAGCTGATAATGTTAACATTCCACATACTTCTGAGGAAAACAACAAAACAACAAAACACTTCCCAGGAAAGAAATTTAAAAACAAAAACTAGGTTAGTGGTAGTGTGACCTCAGTAAAAATTTGTATAGAATATTTTTAAATATTCATTTACAATGAAGAAAATTGTAATAAGTTCAGTGTGGTTTGGCCACTGTGAAATAAAACATCAATGTCATATGGAGCTTGGAAAAGAAAAGGAAAATAAGGAGATGGACAAACAATTAGATGAAATTTAAGTAAAGCTCTCATTTTCCTCTCCTTAGACCTAGAATGCATCTTTTAGTTAAACAAATATTAAAATAGAAACACAGCTGGCAGCCTCTGCAAGACAGATGGTTGAGGGAAAAAGGGTCTCAGCCTGACTCCCTGCTTTCTGCAGTGACTCTTAACCTACAGCTGAGGCCAAATGGACCCTGGCACCAGCAGTGGCAGGAGGTTGGGGCTCAGCCTGCCTCAACACCCTGCAGGGACCACACAGGGGTCCAAGTTTTGCAAACAAAGCAGTGGAAAACGTTCACAGAAGGTGATACAGAGAAAGACGATAATTCAGGTGTCTCCAGCTGCCCTTTGGGGGATCTTGTCTGTCTCTCCCATGATTGTCTGAAGAGCATCAATGGTCTTACCTTGTTGCTTTACTAATTTAGGTGCATGGAAGTATGTAGTGTGACTACTCTCCCACTTTCACAGGACATAGGAGAAATTCTCCACCGTCCAGCTTCAGAAATTCAAGGTTTCCAGTTGCAAAATCCAAGTCACATTTCCCCACCTGCCCACAACTTCCCAGTTACACCATACCAGAACAAGAATATCCAGGGGCCAAGAGGAATGGGTCATACTAGAGAAATCCCTACATTTCAATGCACTCCACCCCTTTATATCCTCACATATTTCTGTTCTATGATACTTAATGGATGAAGGTGCAGAGCTTGTCCTTGAATGTAACGAAAGCAAGAAAAGTAATTTCTTAACCTCCTGAGCAATACCAGGTACAACAGTAGCAATCTACAAAATCAGAACCCCAATCTGCATTTTCGTTTTTTTTATTTCATTCTACAAAAGAGATTTTTCTGCATAGTCCAGTGATGCCCAGTGTAAACACACTCATATTTAGGTTATCTTAGTGCTTACATCATGGATAGACCAACTGCAACAATAATTTATTGCATTTGTTCTGCTCCAGTAATAATACCCAGTATTTTAGCTATTTGGAAACTTCATAAAGAATTCAATAAGTGATTTTATTTATTAATATATAAATAAACTTGTCACTAAACATTCTTTAATGTCTGTGTTTGCAATTGTTCCGACCCCATTTGCTTTTCTTGAAGGAGAAAAACCATAATTTTCTCATTGAACACTTGTCTACAAGGAGAAATCACGATACAATATCCAGCACAGAGTAGGTCAACTTAATTGTAATATTTTTCCTCAGTGATGGCACAAATGAATGCCTGACAATTCAGTTCTGACAGTCACTATTGACAGTTGCCTTCAACACCTAAACTGAAATATGGGCCAAATCTCTCCAAAATCTACTAACCTGGCCTTGACTACAGCTGTGAGAGTGGGGAAGAAAAAGACCCTGCCAAGATAATTTCTCTTTCTGCTTGTGACAGCAACAACTCTGAAGGAAATCCCAATGAAAAATCATTTCAACTACAGAGTTAGACACGATAGAGGAAATTTGCATTCAGACTCAGCCAACTGCTTTCATGGCTGGCAAATTCACCAGGAGAAGTCTCCAGAGCTCCTTCTCAACCTCTCAATAACCAGAAGCACTCACTGCCAAGGTCCTCCAGCACTGCAGGCCCATCCAGGGGTACAGCAGGGTAATGGAAACTCATCAGTACAAGTCCTGCCTCAATTATCTGCTTCATTGACATAAGCAGCTCTCAAATATTAGGCTGGACTTAGTGGTAGGAAGAGGAGGAAAAGCAGAAAATGTCAGATAGAAATAATTTTTGAAAGGGGAAAGTTCATCATTTTACTTTTAGGAGAGTGACTGAGAATCTGTAATAGCAAGTGCCCTTTAAAAGGGCTTCACGTGTTAGTCCAAGTGGTTTATGATGCTCCAAGAAACCCTTTGCTGCAATTAGTTTCATGATATGCATATGCTCATATATTATCACATACATTCATCTATTAAATCACTGCAGTCTTAAAAAAGTGTTAGTCCATACTCAGAAAAACTACTTTAAAACAAAAGAATTAAAGGAACTCAATTCCGCTTACAGAGTTTCGGGATTTTCAGTCCCCAAAGAAACCATTTTTTTTTTTTTAATTATTATTTCTGGAGAAAGATTTTCCCCTGCAGTTCACACCTACCAACCAGCTGAGCCATCAGGTCCAGGATGCACTCATCTGCCAAAGCCCACGGGCGCCGGCCATTGAAATGGCCATGAACACCTCTGAAAAGGAAGAGAGAAAGGATGAAAACAGGAGTTGTTCCCTTTGGATCAGTCCTGAGAAACACATCTGGTTTGGAGACCCCACATTTGGAGGAGGGAAGAGGAAGAGAAAGAGACTTGCCTAAGCTGATAACTTTTCTCATGCCATAAAAGCTTGTAGCAAATGCAATTCATTTGTTGGTTTCTGACAGGTTCTCAGTTGCTTGAAAACTATTTATTTTGACCCAAAAAGTTCCTTTAAAATTCCTCAGCATTAAAGATGGTAGCTTTTTCACAAGCCCTCTGGAAGTGGCTGCATGGGTACCAGAAGCCTCTGGAAGCAGGCAGGTTGGGAAAGGGCATCTCAGTGTGGGATGGCACCTGCTAACCCAGGCTCACATCAACTGCACAGGGAGCAGAGATCACTCACAGAGTTACCCCACCTGCATTTCTAGCTGAACATTGTATGGTGCAGAGGATGATAGACTTGAATACTGCCTTGCTCCCAGACAGAAATATTTCTTGTCAGAAACAATTTCCATCCTCCTGCATCTCCTGCCTGAGTTCACCCTCCTGCATAAACCAGCAGGTACTTCGTGTTTGTGCAGGGCAGCACCTGCCCCAGCTGAGCTGCTTGCTAATTTTTACTGCTTCTCTTCTCCCTGACAAATTGTTCTAGATCTTAGAGGGCATAAAGCTTTTGGGGTTGACAAAGTGTATTTAAAAACTGCTCTTGTCTACAGTGGATCACATGATCACCTTAAACCCAAGTGCCTCACTACTCTGGTGTGACAGATATGTACATTCAGTCCTGGATTATATGCTCTGAACTAATTTTTCCTTCAATTATGACAGAGAAGAAAACTTCTAAGGTAGCTACCATGCATATATAAATTAAAAGTTGCCAAGTTTCTTAAACATGCAGGCTGTAGAGTAGAGATTTAAATGCAAATGGAGGCAGATTGAGGAAAGTAATAATGGTGCTAATCCAGGGGAACATTGCTCTGGGCTCCCATCTCACACTGGATGATTTTCATATTTGCTGAGCACCACGGGGTACTTGTGGAGTCAGAAACACCAGGTTGCATAAGGCTGACTATAAAGCCGTTTCAAAATAGGGACAAAGCCAGTAGGAAGCTGGGTAGAGAGGAAAAAAAGGCCCTAAAAGCTTTGATGTGGGGAAAAAAAAGAAAAAAAATGAACCTTTTAAAGAAGAACAGGCCCACAACGTTCACATAAAATCATGAGAGGACAGCTGGAAGATTAAGACACGAGAAAGGAGGGTGCATGAGACACTACCCCACCCTCAAGGCTATTTAAAAGATTGCTTTTTGCTATCCACCTCATACTTTCCCTTCTCAGGGAGAATTTAATTCTGTCTCCCACACAAATTACCTGGGCGTTTTACAGTCAGACTCCTTCTGATTGACTTGGGTCTAATTCACACCTCCTAGGGATATTTCAAAAAACCCTACAATCCTAGAGAATAGAACTGCTGCAAAAGCACAGTTGTATTAACCACTTCAAGCCTGTCATCCTTGCAAAATACCATCTACTTTCGGACTAGGTTAGGTCAACAGATGAAGACGGGCACAGGTACAGTGGAACATCTCTTAGAGATAAAATAACATCCCTAGGTTTGACAAGACCAGTCCTCCACAGATGCCAAGGAGCACCCTGATCCCCAATTTGGATAACGTCATGGTACACCAGCTCACTGCTTTTCTCCATTTCAGAATTGCTCTCTGATGAGACCTTGACAGCAGAGAACGGGCAGTGTGAAACAGCTCTCATTTACAAGAACATTTCAGAGATGAGGAATAAAGGCAGTGGGTGGGTAGGGGAGAAAATGCTGTAAGGGGCAGGACTAGTGCTAAAATTCCCTCCCTTCTATCAGACCATAATGCAGCTGCCTACCCTGAAGACAGTGTTATGTGTTTCACAAACAGCAAGACATTTATTGGTAATTTCCCTTCTTATTCTTCGCCGTAATATAGTGATCAAGGGACTTTAGGATAATAGAGACTGTTAAAGTAAAACCCCCAAAGATTTTCAGTGGTTCCTAGCCCAAGGGGAATCTGTATTTTTGAAAGAGGATAGTGAACTTAATAAGATGGGAAAAATAAGTCCTAACTACCTATGGGATTCTCTTTCATTAGCTTTCTCTGATTTTATAGCCATTAGTGTCCTCCTAATGGGAATTTACTGATGAAAGTTCTCTCTATCAGCACACAGGACTAACAAGACTTCAGAATAAATTTCCAAGTTATCATGAGAACAGATATGAGATTTTGGGCATGAGAATACTTTATTTTGAGAGGAAAACATGGACATTTAACTATATTGAAAGAGGGGAGAGGCAGCATTTATTATTATTCATATTATTATTATTATTACTGCACAGCTTACAGCTTGCCTCCCTCTTGATGGCCAATATAAATGACAAGAGATAAAAATTATTGCCATTAAAATGGTAGTTAAAGGCATATTCTTAGACCCTTTTTTTATTTTAATCACATGAAACTCTGTAGACTTTGCTGATGGCACAATACATCCTATTACACTTAGGCTGTAAAATTCTATGCTCTGCCTCAGAGAATTTATATCTCTGTATATTATGCCACCCCTCTCTCAGCTCTGGTAGGTACTGGGGGTAATAATCTTTAAGGACACAAGTGCTGTGTTTCTGGCATTCCCCTCAGACATGGAGAGCCTTTATCCCTTTTCTTTTTCCCACTGCACCCTTGGTTGGAAGAGAGATTTAAATCAAGGTACCCAAATTAATGAATACAAAACGCTGCCCATCAATTCATGAAGCATCACACAAACAGTCTATTTCTTCAACTACTGTGAGAGTTTCTTGTAGTCCAAATTAATTTTTAGTTGGTTACCATTTTATTTTCAATTTGGCAGGAAATCACAATGCCACGTTTTATTCGCTGAGGTCTGGTTGATTTAAAGCTCACTAGGGGAGTTGGAAACACATTTTCCGAGATGATCCCAGGGTTTCAAAGGCAGTGAGAAAAGGGATTTAAATTAATTGCCAGCTTCAGGAATCTTCTGTGCTCATCCAAATCTTGTTCAAGTGCAAATTTCTTTCTTGCTTCTTTGCCAAAAGTGATGCAAGGTATTTAATGAGCCAGTACAGACTCTGAAGTTGGACCATGGTTTCAAGCAAAGAAACAGCCAAAAAGAAAAGGAACTGTATTGATCAGTAAATAAAAGGCAAAGCTAAAAACCCAGGGCATTATAACAGGCAGGTCTCACAAACAACCTGCTGAAAGGCACAGGGCTGGGATGACTCCTGAGAATGGCAGGAGAGGTGAGTCTGTCACACAGGACATGGCCAAGCCCCTCCAAGCTGCACTGCTCTTTGCAGGGCTGTTGCCTCTTGCAGGATTAGTTCACCACATAGAACCAAAGATACCTTTTGACTCACTGAAAATAATCTTTGCTACTGCAGGTGTTATATTATAAAACCTTCCGCAGACTAGGAGGCTGTTAATCTACTATATTCATGTCAGAAGCCTGTTGCCAGCCTATTTCAGTGCTTAGAAGTGTGTGTATATAAACATGTTTTACTTCTAGCCTCAATTTATTAATTCCTAGCTTACATTTGCTGTGCCAGAATGCTATTTCACATAAGTGGTTCCGTTTTCCCCCTACAGTTACCCATTGATACATCCACAGAGAACAATATTTTTTTTCCTTTCAGTCTTAATTTTGCTCAATTTAACAACTCTAATCCTCAAGACTTCCATACAACAGGTTCTCCACTCCCCAGTTGCTCTGCCAGCCCTTCACAGGAGCATAACAACTGGCTACAGCAAGCTCCCTTCTCTTCTAATAGTTCACTTTAATGAGTCACTTGGACGTGAGAGACGTTTCCTGCTGCACTGAGTATGTTCACATACAATAATGATTCTATAGAATATTTTAGTTACTTAACCAGTTTTGGCAGGGCAAAGGGAAAATGCTGAAAAGCACCTCTTGGTCTTTCTCTAACCAAACAAGTCCCTTTAAGTTTGGACTTTTAGATTTCAAAATATTGGGTTATTGGCTACTCTAGGCTAAGCACAATAACTCCTCATCCCTTTTTGCCTCTTATCCAATAAGTCTTGGATTTAGTTGAAATCATAACAGAAAGATGAAGTCTAAAAGGCTCTTTTTAAATGCATACTAAGAATGCCAGTGGTTTGGATTTGTAGTGTTTACATGTTAGCATTAAAAAAAAAAAAAGGATTGAGGAACACAGAGAGGAAGAACACAAAACCAGAGAAGGTGTGTGGGAGGCAGTCTAAGGGAAAAAATCCATAACTCACCACTTAACTTGGAGGTACATGAAAGGGACTCAGCACTGAGAGGGAACACAACAAGAAAAGCATGAAAAAGCCTCCTTTCCCCCAGCTGTGCTCTAAAGAGTTGCCATCACCACAAGGAGATAAAGCTCTGAGCTTCCCTGCCCTTGACCACCACTGCTGGGTAAATCTTCCCTTTCACTCTTGCCATTACCTATAAGCAGTGAAAACCATTTAAATAGACTCGTAGCTATTTGAGATGGGTCCCAAGACACAACAAACAGAAAATGCGATAAACCAATTTATAAGAAAGCCAGAATCTATACCATTGCTGACTTGATGGATGTGCCTAATTTGCATGCCATTGCTTAGATTCTCTCTACTTATTTATCCAAGCCACTGCCAACACACCAGCCACAGAACAGGATCCAGATGGGAACAGCTTCCACCTTAGACTGGATTTTGCTAAGCTGTCCTTGGTGGCTGGAATAAAACTACCCGTTTCTGTACCTCCAACCACCTGTTCCTTTGCAGCTCCCAGAACACCATCCTACCCAACAGCTTCTTTAAGCATACACTTCTCTTCAAAGTTATCTTGACCTCTACTCTGACTTTCTCAGCTGCTTTAGGTGCATCTGCAACTAGCAGGATTTTATTCTAGGGTTTTTTGATTGATTTTAATTCAGGTTTGATTTTTATTTTTGTTGGTTTTGTTTGATTCTTTAGGGGTTTATTTATTTGGTTTTAAACTTTCTGATTTATTCTGGGTAAGGTTTTTTGGAGCCAAGCTGTATTTTTGGCAAAAAGTCTTTCTAGTTTTGCTCCCTCACTTCCAACGGCTCAAAATCATGTTCAGCCATATTTCCCCCTTGGATACAGTTACTGAAGGCACTTTTGATCTGAACATGCTGCCTACCTTTTTCTTGTGGTTTTTTTATAGTTATTGAGGAAAAACCCATCCTTCACTGCAGCAAAGACAAACATAAGAATAGAAGAGAGCCAGTGAAAAGATACAGTGGAGGAGCTGAAATGTGTTTGCACTCCCAGTGCATCACTCTAACAGATAAGAGTGCTATCTGACTTCTACCTTTTGAAGGAGCTCAGCTGTTTTCCTGATAAAGTAGGATGAACAGTGCAGAAATGGACAGGGTTGCAATTTTTCTAAACCACTGGAGAAACTGCATCACTGTGCTGACTGAATAACCAGCAGGAACAAACACTTCCCAAAGTTCGTAGTCATTCCCATTCATTCTCAACTTCTTACTTATAAGAATACAAGTGATAAATAGGAAACAGTAAACCATTATGTATGAACTCACAGCATTCATATATTAGGAAGTGAAAGAGCAGCTACAGATTTTTCCCATTTCCATTGTGAAGCCTCCATCTAGACTGTTCCTACTGAAACAGGGCTGCCCAGTTAGCAGCATTCATTTTTCCTCTTCTGCCTCTCCATATTTCCTCTGCTCTCTCACCATGAAATCACATCTGTTCCACTGATATCCTGCACCCTATAAAAGAGTTCATCTCTCTCCCACCTCACTTACTCGTCTGGATGTTATTTTCCTTTCCCACCTTCAGTTCCCTGGTTTTTGCTTATCTTTTTCCTTACTTATCCCTGGTCCAGCTGCTCAGGCAGGTGTTGGATACCTCAAAGCACAGAGTCTCAATGAAAACAGAGCATAATATTAATAAAAGTAAAATAAATAATTAAAAAAACCTTTTTCTTTCCCCTATACATATTAAAATTTTCCCATTTTTTATGATGATAATATTCCTTTCATGCAATGTGTCCTTCTTTTGTCTTCCTGCCTCTCTTACATCAGGTTCATTCAGCAGAGCTTGTGGCAATCCACTCTCAGCTCCTTGCTGAGATGCTATTGAGAAGACAGGAATGTTTCCTTCTAAATAAAATGAACTTGTCAAGCAGAGACCTGGTTTAAGAAGAGCCAAAAACCTGCCAGTGCTGGCAGAAGCATCACCTGTGCTCAGTGCTATTTCAAGGGGAACTGCCCATTGCAAGGCCTGCAGGGTGAATCACACACAGTTAAAAACACTAATTAGAAAAATCACAAGGCCTGGAACCCAACCACATTCACCAGCAAGGAACAAAAACCAAATGAGTTTGTGTGCCTTGTGTATAAACACTGTTCATAAAAGCTTTTGGATGAGCCAAATCAGAGCCACAATGCACAGCATGGGTCATCACAGCTGGAAGGGTCTCTTGGCCTGTTTTACTGCTCATACCTTTAAAAGAGATGTAAATAGTGCCAGGGAAACACTGAGCATGTTTTACTCCTGGACTGTAGTGCTTTTAACACACTATTCTGCAATTCAAGCGTTTCCAGGGAAGATCCCAAAATAAATTGCTCACCTGGAGCACAGGTTAGCATCTCACATATCCCACAGTGTACTCACGTTCGAGCCCACTTGTCCAGTTCTTCGTCCAAGTAAGTTTTAACCTTTCTTGGCTGGAGCCCAAGAGAATTCCCAGCAAAGTACACACAGCTCTCTTCTCCATCCACCAGGCTCAGATCAGCTGTGGAGGGAAACCACAGAAACAACAGGTACGTGGGGGTGAGCACAGGAGGGTCAGCACATGTGTACAAACACCCCCAAGCACACATGTGCCACCACCCAGAGCTCTGTCCCTTCATCTCCCTGGGACATCGTGGTCCCCACACTCAGATAGAGGTGCTACCTCCTGACCTCCCTCCCAGAGCATCACTCAGCATCATTCAACCCGCAAAGCCTCCAAGGAGGAGGACAGAGGGCAATTTGCAAGCAGTTATTCACCTTGTCTTCCTACAATTCTTGGAGCTAATGTGAGTTCAAGCATCACCAAATTCCCAGCTCTCTGAAGAGAGCTTCTCTAGAAGCAACCACTGGCACTAATTTTATCAAGTCAGTAACCACAGGTGAGAAAAGAGGGAGCATTTTCCCAACCAGGCTATCCACTTTTCTTCCACCATCAGTATATGCCTTCTCTGAGTCGTGAAGCTGCTTGAATCATGCATTTAATAAGAGTTAAGACTAGGTAAATCTGTGTCTTTCATGTAAGTTCTCCCTGTGCGATTAAATCTCTATTTAGAAAAATGTAGTCATTGCACAGAATATTTTTAGGCTGTCTCAAAAGTTCTTGTCTTGTCAGCATATACTGGTGGGCTGCACTTCATGTCATCGTCTGAGGAGGAGGAGGAAATCTATGTTGACAAATCCTTTCAATGATTAGGAGAAAAGCAAGGCGGTAGAAATTTATAAATAATAGCTGTAGTGAGGTTCTGAACAATCTAATTACCCTGTGTCATCATCTATCAATCCAAACACAAGCCTTTTTCTATTATTTCTCATGGCGGAGATTCTTGGAGGGACAAGTGATGGTGACCTTCTAGAAGTAGTAATTTACATTTGTCTATACCTATACTTACAACTCCCCAAAAGCTAATATTACATGTAATTTTGGTAAATATAATCATTAGAATTATATTTACCAAAATAGATTATATTAGATCTCAGAATAAAGATATGAATTTATTAAGATACATACTAAAAATGAGCATAAAATTGCAATTTAGTCATGGAAAATTTTCAAAGGGCTGTGGAAAAATAGTCTGGAAAAGGTCTCTCACTACCTTTTGCACTAACAGTTCCCAACTTCATTGAACTTCATCAGAAACACATTTTTCAGGAGTATAGACAACTTAGGTAATTTCTTAATTAAAGCTTTAGAAGCTTTTAAACAGCATAAATCAGAGAGCAATTTCATCCTAATCTGTTTTACAGATACTATGTCTGTTTTTCATCTCCATTCTAATATGAATGGAAACAGAGAGGAACAAACATTATCCATGCTCCCAAATTGATTCTAGTAACAGTTCTTTTCCTATCAAGAAACACAACAACACTGTCCCATTGGGATTAGAGAGGAGGATTTTTGCTCAAGAATTTGGAGCTCAATCTCACTAATGTTCCTTATGCTCTGACCAAGCAGGGAAACAGGTAAGGAATTACAAGCAAACCAGCTTTCCTTGCACCACAGTCCTTACTAAATAAAAACGCCTCTTGTTCACTGTTGGAGAGAGATGACATTACCTTTTTCATAAAGTTTATTTTCTCTACTTTTAGAAAAAAAAAGTATTTTTCTACCTGTTACTTTGAATATACTTTTTTTTGGCATTTTATCAACTCCTTATCTGGCAATACTTTTTTCCTTTTGACAAAAAGCTGTTTATTTCCCCCTCTTCTGACCAGCACACCTTTGTACTCCAACACTTCCACAGTCACAGTAATATTCTTTACAATAATACATTTGTTTTCCTAAAATTAGCACTTGACTTTTCCCAAGTTACTCTACGCTTACTTCTCAAAGTATTCATCCTTTTTATTTCTGGAGGAGCTGCAGTTGATATGCAATATAGATTGAAATATTCAAACAGCAAATAAACACAGTTGAGGAAATAAAGGCAAAGAAAACAAGAAATAATTATTAAAATGTGTTCTTAGAGAAACCTGAATTAAAAAACACACTTACATTAAAATTAATTAAATACATATTTGCACACCTACTCAGATTTGTGCAAAAATTATTTTGCATGGTAATTATACCCATTTGTCTGTGTTAAAAATGCAATTCTATACCTTTTAAACCTAAAAGAAAAAGCAAGTTTATTGTCAAAATAATTCAGTCCAAGCAAAAGGGAAAATTTCAATGTTTTCATCAAATAGAGAGGAAGGACTAAACCTGCTTATACATATCTGAGATCTGTCCCTTGTTGAAGGATAAAAGATTACCCCCTTCACACCTGCCTGGACCCCCCTCACAAGCCCTCCAAAAAAAGAACCACATTTATATGATTAACCACTGCCTTTAACCATTTCTTCTGGGAAATACAGCTCAACACTTTCACTCTTGGGCATCTTTTTATTCCCAAGAAACCCAAATGATGCTCTATTCCTTTACAAGATGACAAAGCACAAGCCATAGCCTTAATCAGACGGGTGATTTGGTGCCCAACTGCCAACTGCAATCCAGGCATTCCTGCCTCCTCCCTGTGGTGCACGGAAAAGCGTTAAGGGGAGATCCAAACATTTCTCTAAATCTCCCGCTGTCATCTTTCCATATTTGCTCACCTGAGCCTCGTCCCTCATGCTTGCACATAAAACCTCAGAGATTTGCAGGGAGTTGGGCTGCTGTTGGTTTCCACTTGATTGATATAACAAACAAACAGCTGTGACAGTTCATAACTCGATAACTAAATTAAACTATTCTAATGACTTCCTAAATATTTTTTTCTGTACGTCATCTTACAGTTGTCTCCTATGGATGTTCTGATCTGCTTCTTGTAAGGTTTAATTTTAAAACCTCATTGTAATGTTTTATGTATATATATAAAGAATATTTGATGGCTAATATCTGTAATGACATTTATCTTTAGGAATATGTTATCTAGGATCCGCTCCTGGGCACAGATAAATGTCAGGGGAGATCTGTCTCTGTGGTATAGACACACAATATGAATATATATATATATATTTACACCCCTGCTGTTTTTCAGCAGGGAAGCTGTTCCTGATGACAGCTGAAGTACAGAAAAGAGGGACAGGGGAAAAAGAGAAGGGAAAAAAATCCCTTAATTTGGGAACACAGGAATGATGAGTACTCCGTGCTGTACAACTAGTACTACTTTGTACATTGCTTATCTTCAATAAAACATATATTTATCTCCACAGTCTCAGGACTAAATATTATCATAACTGCAGGGAAAAGCATCTACATCAGCAGTCTTTGGGTCTAAATATGATGGTGATTGAAAAATAAACAATAATGAAGGTTGGAAGGGAAGAAATCAAAATTGTCACAGGGGTATCAAAACCTCTATATATTTCTCAGAAGATTCTTTAACATGAAGCTGCTACAACACTACACTGAAAAGTGACCTTTGATATTCTGGAGGGACATTTTACACGCTGCAGTTGAAGATCCAGCTGCTGTTCAGGTGTCCTACTGGAGCTGGATTTCAATAGCACAGCCCAGTGAAGGGTAGCAGCACTATGGCCATGGGAGCTGTCTGCCAGCACCTTTCCAGCTTTAGAGGTACATTTTGCAGCACCATTGTGGCAGCTGAAGGAGCTTTGAGCACAGAATAGTCATAGTTTAGGAAACTCCTTTAAGCAACCAGGGTAAAAAAAAAAAAAAAAAAAAAATTAATTCTTGGAAGACCAGCTGAGAACATCTCCTCCATGTGGAAGAAGCACCTAGTTTAGATATTTGTAAAGTGACCAGTTCTGTTCTAAATAATAAAGAACTGGGATTTATCATCCCTGTGTCCTAAGGGAGGGAGCAGACAGCATTCTCAACACTCATCATTGTTTAGCAGGAAGATACTGAAGACAGAGATAGTCTGAATTCCTGGACATCTTTTGAAACTATGGATACCATTTTCTATCACAGTTCCTTACTGTACACAATTTGGGGAATGCACTGGTAGTTTCTCATTTAACATCAGAACTGTTCTTTTCAGAAAAAGAAATCCGCAGAAAATTATATCTGCATTTATTGGAAAATGAAAAAAAATTGCAAGAAAGTTCTGTCATATATTTTTCCTTTAATTTTCAACGGGTGTATTTTGCCACAGCAGGAAAGGAAGGGAGTGACTATGCCTATACTTGTTTACCATCTAAGGAAATAATATGCTATTTCTTCAGTTTCCAGTGTGCAATGAATAGAGGCTGCAGAAGCAGCACAGCTTTTGCTTCGCATGTATCTGAGTTGAAAATAAACCCAGACAGATCTTGGGAAGCAGGGGAGAAGCCCAGGACCCTGCTGCCTCCACAGGCCAGTGTTTCCACCAGGTTTTCTTGCGTGATTTGACTGAACACAGCAGAAATTGTGGGTACAAAACACTCCCATAGAGATTTTCTTTTTGCTTTTTGGTGGGCTGGGAGTGCTGACCTGAAGCAAAGGCTTTCAACTTGCCAGCCCTCCTGCTCAACCCTCCTGCCTCCACACCAGGCCCTCTCCATACCCAGGGCATGCCACAGGCTCCCCAAAACAGCCTACAGACCAGAAAAGAAGCAGAAAAACTTCCAGAACCATTTTGCACATCTACATGTGCAGTTATCTATTTGCAGGCAATTCATAAGGAAAGCGAGAAATATCCTCTGATAAAAGGTTTCACTACGAATTATTTGCTCAGATCAATTATTTGTTCTAAGGTACAGTGCTCCATTTGGCCTCGGGAAGAAAATATCTCTACTACCAGCAATAAGACATGAATGTTAATATAATACATGTGCTGTCTCTTTCATTAACTAAAATAATTGTAGCCGGATAGATAATACCAAAGTGTATTACACCAAGGAAGCAACTGCTCTGAACTATCACAAGCGACTTTGCCGTTTCGAGCCATTAGACAGAAATGCTTCTGCCTATAATTTTCAATCAGTCACTATATTGTTCAAAGCTGCTGACTGACAGCATAAGCACCATGTAAGTACTGCATCCTCACATTTTATTCAGGATGGGAACGAGAGCATAAAGCTTCTGGTGCTAGAATAAGCTGACGGATTGATTTAGCAACAGCAGGGACATTCTGTGCTCAGATATGACTACAATTGCTCAATTATCTCATAAGTGATGATGATGATTTCCAAAGATTTGTGATAAACACATGCACAAGATATGAAGCCCAGCCCTTTTCCCCCTCCCTGTTCCCTCAGAGCTATTATAATTCTCACTTGGAGGCAGATCCTTGACTTTTGGGATACAGAAACATTCACGAAGGTGTTTTAACTCATCTTGCTCATCTAAGTGAACAGCGAGTTTTTTGTCTGTGGGACTGCATCCAAGCCGAGAGGCAGTTTGTTCCAAAATGGTTGCTGGTACCACAGGAGAAGAAGGATCCATTTTCAGGTCATTCAATTTCACCTGAAAATCAAAAATGCCAGTTTAGCTCTTCCAGTTTGCATATTCATGAGTGGCTGATAAGCAGCCACTAAAGTTGCATCATTCAAGACCCAAACTTACTTCATTTAAAGGTTTTAAAAAGTGAAGTGTCTGAATAGAATGGTAAAACCAATCAAATATTTCCAAGGCAACATATTTCTGTAACCCCCAAAGGCTTTTTTCTTTCACTTCTATAGATACAATGCTCTTCCCTTTTTAAGTTGTATCAGCCACTTCTAAGTTCTCCCACCAGACTGGCAGCAGTTCCAACTGCTGAAGTGTCATTCACAATTTTGAGATGTCAAAGCCAGAGGCAGCATTATTGTTTCTGCAGTCTGAGCTCCTAAGAATAGCAGGTGCACAGCTACACTGGAGTTGCTTCCAGGCTGTGCAACGTTCAGCCTCTTTCAGCTTTTCGGCCTCAAAAATTGGAGGGGGAGTTTGTGCACAGTTGTGCTCACGTTCAAGGGCAGAGCAGGCAGGATACAGGCAAAGGCATTGTTAGAAATGTCACTTTCAAGACCAGGACCTTGAATTATTATTTCCTTTCAGCTGCACCGAATATCCTGATGGGTTTAGCTCTGTTTGTCCTGGGAAAAGCGAGAAGCCCAAGTCAAACCGCAAACATGACAGACCATAGATTCTGAGAACATCCAAAGCTAACTGCAAAATTTACAAGCTCATTGATCTTGATAAGAAAAACAGTCCTGTAACTGCACTGCTCAGAGACATCATTGTGCTCAAGATAGCATTTGTGCACTTGGCTTTACAGATCTGCGGCAAAGAAAATTTATGACACACACCCTGCACTTTAGGGCAAGGCTTCAATAGTGCAGCCTGCTGCTTTCTGTGGCAGTAGGCAGTCAAGAGGCTCATTGAGGTGCTTGGTGGTTGCCCCAGTTTAGGGAACTGTATAGTTACACCACACAATATTTTCTGCCTTTTTAACATCCCCAAGAGTCTTGGTGCAAAGGAGGACTCAAGGGGATAGGCTGAAATAGGGCAGATTAGCACATAACATGCAGCACAGAGCCACTAGAGAATATTACTTTTTTCTCTCTGTTTGAGAAAGAAAGCCCTTTAAGCACTTATCTTCCATAAGAACCGGTTTTCATTTCTTAAAGCTAAAAGTATTCTGTGGATAGTTATCCAGAAACAAGCTGTGGATAGAACAACAGATGACTATTGAGAAGAGCTTTGTCAACACATATGGGAAGGACGACGGTTGGTATTTAAATATAAACCCCTAAACAGCACAGACTCACTAGTGCCAATTGATCCAAACCTGTTTAGCCAAATGGCCAGCATGATGCTGCTTACCTGCTTTAATCTGCTATCATTTGGTTTATGATGCAAACATATTCTTTTCCCCCCTTCAGTCTTAATATCTTACATAGTAAAAATTTTTCCCCTCCCACCAGCATGCAGAGCTAAAAAAAAAAAAAATCAGCAGAGTTCTTTAAGATAGCAGTTTTCCTTTAACTAATGAAATGAAAACTGCTGGGAGTTACTGGAGATATCCTATTTTTGTGCTGTCTCCATACAGGTTTTTCACACCTCCTCATTGTTGCCAAATTTATCATTCCCACTCGTTTGTCCTAATCATCCCCTAGGTGGTAAAAAGGAAAATAAAATAACAAAAGTGATTGCATTAAAAAAAAAAAAAAAAAAAAAAAAGGTATTTCAGCATCCTGGTTCTTGGAGTGCCTTTTAAGGTTTCTAGGAGGCAGAGGGCTGCACCTAGACTAGTCGCTGGGCGTGATGCTCAAGAGGCCAAGCTGGTTTGGACCAATACACTCCACTAGCCACCTCCCAGAGAGCTGCCACCCTACTGAAAGCCTTGAAAGAAGTGTGACCAGGCTCCCTATTCAGCAGGGAACTGCTCCTCAGTTCCTCCACAGCTGAGCAGCAGACCCAAGCTTCCGACAGCTTCTTTGCTGAGATCTCAGTAACATGTGTGGTTTTCTGCAGGTCAGAATAACACTGACCTTCTGGACCTCACTTGGCAGACATCAGGGAGGATACTTAGGGATCTTTATTTCCTCCAGGAGATGTGAAATGAGAAAAGCAAACTTGATTCATGAACACTGTGGCCATCACTAATACAGGCACCTCATTATAACCTACAGGCACTGTAAGGTAACTTCATTTTCACTTCTCCAACTTATAAGTTTTAAGAACCCACAGTATTAATCAATAAATGAGGGCAAGCAATATTTGGACCAGCACTTGGAAAGCGAGACTAGTTTTTGTTTCCAAAGGTTTATGTGTTTGATTTACAGCATGAGCATGAATGTCCTGATCCCATTATCAAGGCGTGTCCAGCACATACACAAATAAGCAAGATATAGTCCTCTATTTTTAATAATGAGTATTCAGTGCAAATTATATAAAAAAATACTTGTAGAACAGGCTTGAAACCATGCTTCCTTGACTGTCTCCTTGTAGGTAAATAACCACACAGTAGCCTGTGTAGTATTTTCTATGCAATCTCAAGTTGATGCCTGGATTTTTTTGCTCCCCAGTGACGTAGCTCCTGAAGTAAGGGAAGGAGCCTTTGGAGCTTTCTAAACAGATCACTCACTTGAGTTAAGGAGATTTGCTCAGTGATGCTCAGCTCCCACAGTCCCACACAGGGGAGACCATGAAGTACTAACATTGCCATCACCTACATCCTCTCCTGAATACAGGAGGTTTGGGAGTCGCCAGCATTTATCTCCAGGGCCCACTGAGGCACTGCCAGCTAATTCCCCTGTAGTTTATGGCCAGGAGATGGATGATAAGGGTGCTTGAAGGACAGTTTGGTATTATCTGGCCTGTAGATGCTCTGCTTTACACCACGTGAACACAGCCCAGCGTCCTACACTTTAAATTACTAGCCACCATTTCCATGTAAGGACACCCAGTTATTGCAGTGAATTAATGACTATCATATTCCAGGTCATCCTCTGACCTGTCTGGCAGGCATAGATGGGTTTGGTTTCCATTTGAGGCCTGACCCAAAACTCACTGAAGTCAATATTACAGATGATTTCTGGATCAGGTTTTTTGTTCCCTGGCATTGCTGTAGTTTGTTGCATCTGATCAATGACTTACATTTATTTTTATTCTCATTGATATTTAATTTTGACAGCAAATATAATATAAATACCAAGGCCTAGAAGTTAAAAATTATTAAGTGCTCAGTGGCATCTGATTTAATACAAACATTATGAAATGAGGTAAAACTACTGAAATAAAATCAATCAAAATCGTATTGAGGAATGAAATTCCAGAGATCCAGTTCTAAAAACAGAATAAGAAAGTACTTTTGTCCTTTGAATGGGAGTTAGGCTTCATAGAGTAGAATTGCAGAATTTATTTAGGAGTTGGGGTTTTTTTTAACCCTTTACTCTAACTGGTATAATTTCATTTTTTTAATCACAGAATAGAGGTCTGTGTAATTATTTTACAATAATTCATGAGTCACTTGTTGTTTTCTACATTTTTATAAAAACAGCACAGCTTTATTCCAGTTATCTTCACTTAATTTTAAACAATCATCTGTAACCTCTTCAAATTAAAATTCAGACCCATAAGTGCAAAATGCATTTCCCACCTTGATAAACATGGTTCTTTACCAGGATTTTTGTTTTCCAGACAGCTTAGAGTAAAAATAATCAGTATCTTAAAAGAAACCATTTGCCTCCACCACCCACTCTGAAAAAAAAGCATTCAAGTGTTTTCATAGAATCCCAGAATGGTTTGGGTTGGAAGGGACCTTAAAGACCATCTAATTCCAACCCTCCTGCCATGGGCAGGGAGATCTTTCACTAGAAAAGGTTTACTTCTTTTCCTTGAAACTTTTACAACACTTTTTGACTAAACAGATGACAAGAAGTCAGTATATTTTTATTTTTTTCCTAGTTCTTTGCTCTTTGGACTCTTCCATGGGACTTACCTGTACTACATTCTGATTTAGAGCAAAGAACCCAGCAATGACTGTAGGCAAACTTTCATACTCAAAAAGAGCATAGGCAACTTAAATTAAGAAAACAGTCATTATTCCATACTTTATCAGCACAGACATTGCCCCACGCTACTTCATCTCCCATTTTAAAACTATAAAAGACAATGGATGAGAATTAGTCAGACACAAGTGACGTGAATGTCTGGGTGATTATTTCTGTTTTGTCCTTTATGCATAATTTACTGCTAAATAGAAAAAAAGTGTGAATATTAGCGAGTCATCTTATCAAATTTACTCAGGAAGGTCCATTAGGCTTAATTATAAAATGATAATTTGTTCTCTTTTTAGATCCTCTTATATTTTTATGGACCTACCCTCTGTCTTGAGATATTTATTAAAAAAAAAAAAAAGTTCCCTTACCCCCCTTAAACATTTTCTTTAAATATTGCAAGATGTTACTCACAGTCTACCCTGTACAGTGCTGACAGATATACAATGAATCTCTACTTTAAGCTGTACCAATATCCTCAGAGGAAAAGTGTTTGTCATGGAAATAGCCTATCCTGCACTTTCTGCCCTCCAATAGCTGTTCACCAGGTTGCCAAACACAGCTCAGCCCACAGACCTTTGATATTTTGAGGCTGGTGTCCAAATGAATTCTTGGGAAGGAAAACTGGGGGTGTGCACATGTGTGAGTGTGAAAGTTTGCAGTATAGGTCCAGGCTGTCAAAACACACCCACTGAAAGCACCAATAGCACTGTAATTGAAGTTGTTTTACAAAACAAACAAAAGAGAAATTACAGAACTGCACAGTGTCTGAGGACTGTTTCTCTTCCTGTCTTTACACCAAAAAAAAAAATTGCTTTGGTGAATATGATTTCGCAGAAGGAAGTTTCTAAAAAAGCACAGCCCAAAGCAGCACGCAATGTAGATTACTTCAGGTTAAATACACTTCAGTGAATTTGTTTAAATTACAGAACTGGAGAAAAATCTAAATATTCATAACTTCCCCGACAACAGACACACAGCGGCAGCCACCACTGTATAATTAAATAAGTTACATGCACAGTGTCACAGCTGCAGCAAGGGAATGTGACAGAGAGGAATTATAATAAACTCAGTTACTTAGAGTAATTTAGGCACTTATTGACCTTCATGTCAAGAAGCGTTATGGTGTTAGAAGTAATTTTACATAGAAAACTCATCTTTTCCCCTCCACAGTGAAACCACGTTACCCTGCGGTCGGCAGCCGCTCCTGAGGGAGGATGATGAAACTCCTGTGCAAATAATTGTCACTCTGTGAAGAAACAGCCACAGTCACATGCCTGGTTCTCCAGGCTCTGACCCCACAGCAACCAGACACGTGACCTAGGAGAGTTAACTAAAAACCAGGTGTGCATGTATGTAATTATGTCCTTTATTATCGTTTTCTTTTCCTTTGTCACCATTTTAAAGCTCTAATTAAATTAAGAAGGGACTTTTTTTTTCCAACACAGGCAAAAGAATACACACACAGTTATTATGAAAATAGTTTTAAACCAAATTCTTTCCCCTTCATGATGGAGACAATTGATAGCATAATAGCAAGAAGTAAGCAGTGTTTGCAACCAGGTGGCAGAGGAAGTAGTGGGACATGGAATACAGATTTGCCAGGGTGGAAAACAGAGGAAGAATTAGAGGTGAAATTAGGGAAGAACAGAGTTGATACCTCTCCTTTCTCTCTCTAAACATTATCTCAAACTAGCCACGTGCAAGCCCAATCCCCACCATTCAAGCTTGAATGACACCCTTCCCACACATAGCTAGAACACAGTCATCTGGAAAGAGAAAAATACTTTCTCTCTATTCAGTCCCTAAAGCCTCCGAGAAGGGAAAAAAAAACCCAAACCCCAAAGACACACAAAAAAACCCCAAACCAACACACAACAACAAACTGAAACATTGTGGAGAGATATAGGGGCAAATGGGTCAGAGTTGTGGATTAACAATGTAATTCAGAGACACATCTCCATCCTGGTTCTGCCTGCCCAGACCCCTGCAGTAATGCTTGTTTATTATCTGGATTTCCATTTTCAGTAAGCACCAATAGATGTGACACTCTTGAACTGTAACATTTCATCTTCTTTGCTAGGAAAAAACCCAACAAAACAACCACACAGAGCATTTAATATTGACCCAAAGTAGAGCTGACCTCTATCCATCAGTTCCTGCAGTATCATTGCCCTGTTCTGCGCTGCCAAATGATTTTTTGGACTACCCACTAACTTGCTCTTTAATCCATCAGCCAGATAATGAGACTGCTCCTAGAGAAACTTTGTCCCACCAGGAATCTAGTCCAAGGAAGAACTACATTGAGGCACTTCGGCTACTGAAGTAAGAGGGATCCAATGTCAAACTCGACCCAAAAGGGTATTTGTTTCTTGTTTGGTTGACCATTTAGGTCAAACCAAGCTTAAATACACTGCAACTTTTCAATTTGCCCTTGGAAATAAAACTACACAAACAGTGGAGTGAAAATTTTTCCCATTGCATTTCCTTTTGAATAAGCATCATGTGTTTTAACCTTGATTGTCAGTGGTGGCAGGAAAGCAGCTGTGCTAGCAAAGGCCATATGTTTGTAGAGTTTCATGAGAATATGAATATTGACCCCTTCTTCCCAGCTATTCTTCTCAACTCTTCTGATGGAATGAAAGAAAAATAGAGACAAAAACCTTTGCCCTTCAATTTCAGACTCAAAACCAAAACAAAACCAAACCAAAACAAAACAAAAAAATCAGCAAACACGTAGCCTAGATACCTTTTTTAGCTGCAGAACTAGTATAATAGTCTGTTGAGGTTTTTTTCCTGTGTTGCTGTGAAGTAGCCGGAGGAAAGGAAGAGAAGAAGGAGCTGCTGCAAGTTACAGCAAGACCAACGTACAAGGGAGTGAGGCCACACGAGATGGGCAAAGTCCCAGCAGGGACAGAGAGCAGGCAGCAAATGTAATGGAGGGCAACCCTGCTATCACCCTCGCAAAGGAGCTGTTAGGAGAGTGATGGGAAGGTAGTGACATTTGACAGACAGTTTAGAGAAGGAAAAAAAAAAAAGAAGCTCTGCATGTCTATAACTGAGGGCTTTGTGGGGTACACGGGGCAGAGAAGGGATTAAGGGGTGGGCAGAGAAACACATTTCTCATACCGACAGCTTTCCTGCCTTGTTTGGAGGAGCTTAACCACATTAAGTCACACACTGCCAGCCACACCCACCAGTGTGCTGACACTGTTACATCTCATCCTTCATCCCAGTTATTTGCTATACCCATCCGTCACTACCAGCCCCAGATTCACCAGAGCCTGTTCAAGGCCCTGTCACGGGAGTCTTGTCCCTTAACTGAAAGAAACTATGTGAGTTTTTTCCACAGGAATGCCAATAAAAGTTTTAATCAATTAATTTGACAAAACACAAGAGCCTTCTTCTCAAGACATGTGACAACAACAAACAACCAAGGGCACCCTGAAGCAAACTCAACCCTTGCCAGATGGGATGCCAGGACACTGGGTCTATCAGGTCGTGAAAGCTTGCCTTGGCAGTGCTGGCCCAGAGCCTTTCTGCTATCAAGAGGGTAAAAATGATCCAGCAAAGATTCTCTTTAACAGGAATAGGCAGGTCTTACCCAGAATAAGGTGGCCTGGAAGACCCTCAGGCAGGAAAACCCTGTGGTTCTTACGGCCAGAAAAGGAGCAGCAAAGC